TAGACGGTTTTTGGGAATTCTGCATGGAGCTTCCTTGTAGAAGCCGGTTTAGGGTTTAGGGTTTAGGGTTTAGGGTTTGGGGTTTAGGGTTTAGGGTTTAGGTTTTAGGGTGGTGTTTGGCTTGGGGGTTGCCACCTCGAGGCCCTCAAGCCACCAAACCTCTACACCTAGCATGCCCAGTAGCACACTTATTGCCTTTTTGTTGGGGGGGTTTCGGTTCCCTTATAAGCCCCTTTAGGCAAAGAAGGGCACCCTGTTTAAGCCTAGGTTTCTGGGCAGCCGAGACACCCCTTCGATTTGTTGGATCCCTGAGATCCCTTTCGAGCCCTTGAAGGCCTCAAAGTCCTTCAAGCCCTTAGAGTCCTTAGAGCCCGGAACAACCCCAAGCCCTCAGAGTCCCTACACCTCAGACAGGGTTTAGGGTTTAGGGTTTAGGGTTTAGGGTTGTTGGTTTCGGGTTTAGGGTTTGGGGAGGTTTCTGCCCTGGTTGGTGAATCTATGGACCTGGAAGGGCAAAGGCTGCACCTCCCAGGGGTCTCCCACTGTTAGGGTAACTGCAAGGGCCTTCCGCAAACCCTAAACCCTCAACCCTAAACCCTAAACCCTAAACAGGCGGGAGTCTCGAGTTAAAAGCCCCAAAAGAGAGCAGTCAGGGTGGCTGGGGGTTGAGGGTTTAGGGTTTAGGGTTGTGGGCAGAGTTAGCTCTGCGAAGACGTGATAGGGAGTGCGCCCCTATATCTAAAGGAGCTGATGCACACCGCAAGCCCTAAACCCTAGGCCTAAACCCTGAACCCTAGCCCTAAACCCAAAACCCCTGGCCTAAACCCTAAAGCAGGTCACTGCGGCTGTGCGCGCTGGGCTCGAGCCGGAGAATCGAGGAGGCCCTAACCCTAAACCCTGAACCCTAAACCCTAAACTCTAAACCTTAAGCGCTAAGTTCAGATGGGGGTTAAGGGGCGGTTGCATTACGGGTTGAGGGTTTAGGGGCTTAGGGCAGTTAAGGCGTTGCTTCGTGTTTAGGTTTTGAGGCTTAGCACTTTGGTTTCAGGGCTTCTGGATGTGTTCTTGGGCTTATTGAGTTTTTGAGGTTGAAAGATTCAGGGGTGTAAAGCTTTCACGTTCAGGTTTTTGTGGCTTGTCACGTTAGTTTTGTTCGGGGGCCTGCAGGTTCTTTGAGCGTTTGGGCGTCTAGGGCTTTCGGGCTTGAAGGGTTTAGGGTTTCGGTTTAGGGTTTAGGGTTTAGGGTTTCGGGTTTAGGGTTTCGGGTTTCGGGTTCGGGTTTCGGGTTTCGGGTTTAGGGTGGATTTAGGGTTTAGGGTTTAGGGTCGGCCCCAGAACGGTTCAGGGTTTAGGGGTTGGGGTTTAGGTCTTTTTAGGGTTGGAAGACTGCGGAATTTGCGATTAAACCAAAAAAGGGTACCCTTTTCATTCCTAGGTTACTCTTGGGCATAGCTATTGTTATTTTTATTCTCATCTCTGTTTTGGGGGGGGGTGGGGGTGGGCGTGGGGTGGGGGTGGGGGGGGGGCCTTGTTGAATCTCTTCGGCTCAAATCTTCAGTTTCAATGTATGGATTGTTTCGGGTTTAGGGTTTAGGGCTTAGCTGAAGTTTAGGGTTCAGGGGTGGTACGATGGGGGTCTCCAAGGTTAGAGTTAAGGGTTTCAGGTTCGGGGAGTTTAGGGTTTAGGGTTTAGGGTTTAGGGTTTAGGGTGTAGGCTTTGATGGCCACTTGGGGTTCCTTTCTGGATCGTAAGGTTCCGGCCCTCATTTTTCGGAAGTACCCGTAGGGTTTAGGGTTTAGGGTTTAGGGTTTAGGGTTTAGGGTTTAGGGTTTAGGGTTTAGGGTTTAGGAGGGCAGGTGTGCCACAAGCATGCTAGGGCTTGCAAGCAGGCCTCAGCCATGTCCTTAGGGGTTTAGGGTTTAGGGGTTTAGGGTTTAGGGGTTTAGGGTTTAGGGTTTAGGGTTTAGGGTTTAGGGTTTAGGGTTTAGGGGGTATGTCAGGAATCTAATGCAGGATCCCCAAGTAATGACCAGTACTACCCGCTCAGAAAACCCTGATAAACTTTCAATCAAGTTACGAAGCCCGAAGCCCCCACACCCAAACCCAAACCCTAGCCCTACACCCACCTAAACCCCAAGCCCTAAACTGCCCATGCTAGTTACAGGAGCCTCCAACGCCTAGATCCTTATCTTGAAACAAAGAGTCGTCCTTCTTCCCTTGTAAACGGAAAGGTCCCCTCCCAAGAAAAAATAAAGAAAAAGTTTAGGGTCTACATAGGCCTTTCGGGTTTCGGGTTTAGGGCTCAGAACAATAGCCCTAAACCCTAGCCCTAAACCCTAGCCCTAAATCCTAAACCTGAAACTCACAACCCTAAAGCCCTGAGCCGCAGGTGCTTGGCCCTTACTGGCTGCGGCTGGCGCCAAGAGACGGAGTAAAGGCACCCAAAGTCCTGGACCCCTAACTCAGATAAGGTTTGAGGTTTAGGGTTTAGGGTTTAGGGTTTAGGGTTTAGGGTTTAGGGTTTAGGGTTTAGGGTTTAGGGTTTAGGGTTTAGGGTGCACCCTAAGTTTCCCCAAACCCTAGAGAACCCTAAACCCTAAGCCCCTTTAAGCCCTTAACCGGGAACCGTAAAACGGTATTCATCGAGACGGACCTTTTCAGTGCGCGTCGCCGTGTCAAAGCCTACCACCTATTCATTGAGATTGAAGGCCCCAGCCACTAGAGCCCTAAATGGCCCCCAAGTGTATCAGAGGATTGCTGTTCCCAGGTCTTCGAAAGCAAAGCCCTAAACCCGAAACCTGAAATTGTCAAAGCCCTTAACCCTAGCCCCTAAACCCTAAACCCTAAACCCTAAACCCTAAGCCCTAAACCCTAAAGCCTAAACCCTGAACCCTGAACCCAGAACCCTAAACCCTAAACCCTAAACCCTAAACCCTAAACCCTAAACCCTAAACCCTAAACCCTAAACCCTAAAACCCTAAACCCTAAACCCCTCAACCCTAATCCTAAACTCTTAACCCGAAGCCCCAAGTGAGGTTTGGGGACTCTGACGTGGCCTCTGTGCAGGGCTTTGGGTTCAGTAATAGCAGGAACAGCACATACCAGTGAAAATAGTGATGCATCTAGTACTGGTGGTAATCATAGTGGTAGTACGTAGTCGTAACGGTACTGATAATGACAAGGCAAAATCGAAGTACCCCTTTACCAGGACCCACGGGAGCAACCCTAAACCCTAAACCCTAAGCCCTAAACCCTAAACCCTAAACCCTAAACCCTAAACCCTAAACCCTAAACCCTAAACCCTAAACCCTAAACCCTAAACCCTAAACCCTAAACCCTAAACCCTAAACCCTAAACCCTGAACCCTGAACCCTGAACCCTGAACCCTGAACCCTGAACCCTGAACTGAACCCTGGAGGTGGAAGTAGAGCCAACTGACTCGGAGCTGGAAGAGTGTCGTCAACGCAACATGGAGTGGCTACGCAAGAGACGGAGGCTAGTAACACATCCGAACTTATCCCTTCGCCGAGCCCGACGGTCGTGGAAGACGCCTTGGACCTCAACGCCACGGCTCTTTCAGATGACAAGAATGAACATCATAAGGATCGGGCACAGGCCAGTCCCACCACGGCGACTTCACTCCCTGCTGATCCAGACCCTATGCTCCACCGCAGAGTAGTCCTGGCGAATCGGCTCATTGCACTGGGAATTGACCCATCGGTGGTGTGAATCCTGAACCCTAAACCCTAAAACCTAACCCGTAAACCCTAAACCCTAAACCCTAAACCCTAAACCCAAACCCTAAACCCTAAACCCTAAACCCTAAACCCTAAACCCTAAACCCTAAACCCTAAACCCTAAACCCTAAACCCTAAACCCTAAACCCTAAACCCTAAACCCTAAACCCTAAACCCTAAACCCTAAACCCTAAACCCTAAGCCCCCAAAGTGTGGGTGATGCGAGGACCCCTAAAACCGCGGAAGCCTCCGGAGCCACCCTAAACACTAAACCCTAAGCCCTAAACCCTAAACCCTCACCCCTAAACCCTAAACCGTAAACCCTAAACCCTAAACCCTAAACCCTAAACCCTAAACCCTAAACCCTAAACCCTAAACCTCCGGAGCCAGGCCGACCCTACGAGAGTCTCGTGGCGGATGGTAAGGCGCTGGAGGAGAGCGAGGCGGTTCGCACGATCCAGGCGAGCTTTCCTGGCTGAGTTGGGTTTCGGGGTTAGGGTTTAGGGTTTGGGGTTTAGGGATTTAGGGTTTAGGGTTTAGGGTTTAGGGCTTAGGGTTTAGGGTTTAGGGCTTAGGGATTTAGGGGTTTAGGGTTTAGGGTTTAGGGATTAAGGGCTTAGGGGGGGCTAGGATCCCCAGGCCCGACACCCGAAACCCTGAACCCTACCCCCTCAACCCCCTCCCCGCCGCACCACCTCATGAGCATGTTGTTTAGAGTGTAGGGCTTCGGGTTTAGGGTTTAGGGTTTCGGGTTTAGGGTGTAGGGTTTCGGGCCTCGTGTTTCGGGCCTAGGCTTGCGGGACGTGTTGCATCGTCCCCTCAGGGGGTTGAAGAGGGCCTTCCGTAAGAATGCTTTTCGGTTTAAATCGTGCCAGCCCTAGTTTAACTTTCGCCCTCCCCCTGCCTCTGTATTGTGCCGCATAGTCCTTCTTCCGCGCATCCCGCAGTGCAAGTTGGCTTCAGATGTCTATTGGCCTGCCTAGGGGAAGGTTCAGGGTTAAGGGTTAAGGGTTAAGGGTTTAGGGTTTAGGGTTAGAGTTTAGGTTTTGGGGTTTGTGCCCATGCGGCCCAGAAAGACGCCACAAAGCACGGCAGAAAGTAAATGATATGAACGGCAGGAGAGCAGCAAGACGACTTTGGACTTTCAACGAGTAACAGACGTAGCTTCGTAGGATTGAGGGATTAGGGTTTGGGGCTTAGGGTTTAGGGTTTAGAGGTTTGGGGTTTGGGGTTTAGGGGTTTAGGGTCTAGGGTTTGCTATCATGATCACGGGTCGGTGTTGCAGCTTCTTCGTGGTGCCGCTTCTGGCACTGCTGGTCTCCACTGGCTTGGTGAAGGTGGACATCACTCCTCTTTTCTACGCTTCTGGGAAGCTCTTGCCGGACTATGTGCCTTGGTAACCCAGTGGCTACCCTTTTCCCTTTTTTGAAGGGTTTAACCCTAAACCCTAAACCCTAAACCCTAAACCCTAAACCCTAAACCCTAAACCCTAAACCCTAAACCCTAAACCCTAAACCCTAAACCCTAAACCCTAAACCCAAAAAAGGGTGCCCTGATTGTATTATGGTTACTGGGCTACCCAGGTGCCTGAAGCTGATGGCAAGGCCTTGAGGGTTCCCAATGGAGACTCAGCAGGGTCTTGGGACATTTTGCCTTTTTGTTCTGTTTGGGGATCCAAGCCCTGAAGCCTCAACCCGATCCCCAAACCGCAATTCTCGGGTGTAGGGTTTAGGGTTGAGGGTTTAGGGTTTAGGGTTAGGGTTTAGGGTTCAGGGTGTGGAGGAAGGGAGGGTTCCAACAAGCAGTTAAGGAGAGATCCGTGAGTTCTTGCAGAGGGCCGGCCTCAAAGGCGGGGCCGCCGAGCAATCGGCTCCTTTGAAGGGCGTTTACATGTTTCCCGGCTTGATGTGGAACTGAACGTTGATTTTTTGACAAACGTTCTACAGGGGTCCTTGTATCCTAAGCAACCCTCACCGAAACTTTGTTTTTATAGCCCTCCCCCACCCTAAAGCCTAAACCCTAAACCCTAAACCCTAAACCCTAAACCCTAAACCCTAAACCCTAAACCCTAAACCCTAAACCCAGGTTCGACCAGATGGGCCCCGTGGGTTGGATTGACTTTTCCTACGCGACCTGGGATTCATCGACTGGAGCAGCCGACGTGAACATGGGCACGGTCACCGAACTCAGAGGTTTAGGGTTTAGGGTTTAGGGTTGAGGGTTTAGGGTTTAGGGTTTAGGGTTTAGGGTTTAGGGTTTAGGGTCATGCATGTACCCTGTTTCCGCGTAGCCCGTTCCCCGTTCCCAACGATGGAGTCGTGTCCAGAAGTCCAACAGACCTTGCCCCAAACCCGAAACCCTAAACCCTGAACCCTAAACCTTAAACCCTAAACCCTAAAGCCTAAAGCCTAAAGCCTAAAGCCTAAACCCTAAACCCCTGACTATGAGGAACCTTCTTTCATTCCACGGCCGATACCTGACTCCAAGCAAAAAACAAGGGCTCACATGTCACCGTAAGCTCTAAACCTTGCGATGTTTTCCCTTATACTAACAGTGCGTAAACCCTCAACTCTGAACCGAAACCCGAAACCCCTAAACCCTAAACCCTAAACCCTAAACCCTAAACCCTAAACCCTAAACCCTAAACCCTAAACCCTAAACCCTAAACCCTAAACCCTAAACAAGGTCACTGCTCAAGCCGGGGTACCTCGGCCCGAGTTTGGTGGCATTGGCCCTTTCGTTCCTGGTGGCTACCTGATCCCCTTCGTCGAGTCTCGACTGGTTATCTTAGGTTCCCCCCTAGGGTTTAGGGTTTAGGGTTTCGGGTTTAGGGTTTAGGGTTCAGGGTTCAGGGTTTCAGGCTTTTTGGGGGGTAGACCGTTTTTGTGGGAACGATTCTGATGTGTTTTTTTCTTTAAATTTGCTGTTGGTTAGGGCCCCCAGGAAGGTGAGCTGCTAATTCTTAAGCGCACCTGAGGAGTGGGTGCAATACAAAGTTCGCTTTTACTGCCCTGCACGCATGCAAGATGGGGATGTATGCAACCTCGTGGAGTCACTTTTCGGTCACCCATATCCCAAGAAGGGGGAGGTCGGATCGATGCTTTGGCACATGACGCGCTTTGATGGTGGGCGCAAGTATGTCAGAGACAGCTGGCTTGTGCCTCCCTGGGTTACTCCAGATGAGTCGTACCACAAGACGCATGGAAAGTTCCACAGCTACAGGCTGTTCTTGCTGATGCACGCCAACGGAACGATTGACGAGGAGCATTTCAGTCGCCACTAGACTATACTTAGCCACGTCTCTGTTGCATCTATTTAGCGAACTGTTTTCGAATCAACAAGTTTAGCAATGCGGCCAGGTTTCATGGAGAAGCTGGATGGACAAGACCTGGTCATTCCTAAGATCTTGGCCAAGTTTCTGTGAACCGACTGCCGCGTGGATCTGCGGGGTCCGGTCGAAACTATGGGCCTTGCTTGGACGTGTATGAGACCTGAGACAGGGCCCATGATCAACCAGCACTTAGACCTGAGACAGGGCCCATGATCAACCTGCACTTGTTGGTTTAGGGTTTAGGGTTTGGGTTTTTTGGTTCGGGTTTAGGGTCTGGAGTTTAGGGTTAAGGTTTAGGGTGTTTGCCCAACTTGAGAGCAGGATCTGTGCAAAGATACCAAGACTTCATGGAGTGGTTCGCGTTGTGCTCAGGCTATGCCCACTCAAGTGCCGTCTCACATCGAAAACTCGGGAAGGCATGTCCTGAGGCCCTTGGACGATGACTACTGGTCTTCAGTTCTGCATCGGCCCTGTGAGCCTTCACCCCAAAAGCCTAGACCCGAAGTCCTAAGCCCAAAAATCCCAAACCCTAAGCCTGAAGGCATGAAACACCGGAATCTCCCTCTCCTCCCCATTCCCCCCCGTCCTTGACCCCCCCCCTCCCCCCCCCCCCCCCCCCCCCCGCCCCAGCAGAGAGTGGCTCTGGAACTCAATGTGAAGTAGGGGCCCTCTTTTGGGTATGTTTGGGGTTTAGGGTTGGTGGTTTAGGGGTTTAGGGGTTTGGGGTTTCGGGTTAAAGGGTTAAGATTCCCCCCCTCCTCCCCTGCGCAACTCACAGGTTGATGTGAAGTGTGTTTGGGTTTAGGGTTTTGGGTTTGGGTTTGGGGTTGGGGTTAAAGGGTCAAGATTTAGGGTTTAAAGGTTGGGACTGCAACCTTAAACTTGACGCCTTTGGATTTGGGTTTGGGGACTTCGACCGAAACCTAAACCCTAAACCCTAAACCCCAAACCCCAAACCCCAAACCCTAAACCCTAAATCCTAAACCCTAAACCCTAAACCCTAAACCCCAAACCCCAAACCCTAAACCCTAAACCCTAAACCCTATACCCTAAACCCTAAAAACCCTAAACCCTAAGCCTTTGACGTGTAGGCCGACTTGCACCGGACGGGCATGGAAGATGCCCCTTGGTGAAAGTGCAAGACTGGCCGACTTAGGGGTTTAGGGTTTAGGGTTTAGGGGTTTAGGGGTTAGGGCTTAGGGTTTAGGGTTTAGGGTTGAGGGTTTAGGGTTTAGGGTTTAGTGGTTACTGCTTTTGCTTGAGTGTGCGGTTCAGGTTATTCGGGATTTGTAGCTGAGGGTGTTGCCTAAACCCCACAGCAACCCTAAACCCAAAACCCAAAACCCTGCACTCTAACCCCTAAACCCGAAACCCTAAGCCCTTAACCCGAAACCCTAAACCCTAAACCCCTAAGCTACAGCAGGCCCATGGATACACGGAACAAATGCAACTGTATCTCTCATCCCTGAGCCCTGCACTCTGAACCCCAAACCCTAAACCCTTTCCTTCGAGTGCTGGAGGATACGCCTCCATGGTTGAAACCAGACCTGTTTGGGTTTAGGGATAGGGTTTAGCCCTAAACCCTAAACCTGAACCCTGAACCCTGATCCCCAAACCCCGAACCCCAAACCCTAAACCCTCAACCCTCAACCCTAAACCCTAAACCCTAGACCCTAGACCGTAGACCCTAAACCCGAAGATGCCCACAGTCGTAGCCTTACTCCACTTTTCGTGGGGGGGGGGGGGGGGGGGGGGGGAGGGAGTTGTTGCCTCCTTAGAAGCCCCTATGTTTCAAGAACCGCACCTTCTTTCTTCTTAGGGCTTAGGGTTTAGGGTTTAGGGTTTAGGGTGTAGGGTTTAGGGTTTAGGGTTTAGGGTTTAGGGTTTAGGGTTTAGGGTACTGGGAAGCTAGAAGCAACCCAAAAACCTTCAAACTCCAAGACCCAAAACCCAGCAGCCCCATCAAAGCCAAAGAGGCGCCCTTAAGCCCTAAAGCCACCCCTGCTGGCAGGTTCTTAGTAGGGACTGAGGGAATGAGATACCCTATATACTCTCTAAAAGGGTATGCATATATATATATATATACATATATGGATATATATATATATATATCTCTATACCCCTCATTCCCAGTAGAATCCCTTAAAGGATATATGTAGGGCCCTCATTCCCTACTCAGAACCAGCGGGGGCCTTGAGGTGGATGTGGGCACCCTCGAGAATGTGCTCCTGTCTTTCGCAGCCGCCAACCCCGCAACTGGGATTCAGACGTCCAGAATCCAAACCCTAAACCCTAAACCCTAAACCCCAAACCCTAAACCCCAAACCCTAAACCCTAAACCCTAAACCCTAAAACCCTAAACCCTCAGCCCTATAAACGCTAAACCCTAAAATCCTTAAACCCTATAAACCCTATAAACCCTATAAACCCTATAAACCCTATAAACCCTATAAACCCTATAAACCCTATAAACCCTGCAAACACTAAACCCCAAACACTAAACCCTAAACCTTTCAACCTTTCAACCTTTCAACTTTCAACCTTTCAACCTCTCAACCTTTCAACCTTTCAACCTTTCAACCTTTCAACCTTTCAACCTTTCAACCTTTCAGCCTGTCAACGCCAAACCCCAAACCCCAAACCCCAAACCCCAAACCCCAAAACCCCAAACCCCAAACCCAAAACCCCAAACCCTAAACCCTAAACCCAATTGTGAAGTTTCGGGCTCGTCCTTGAGCGAATGCGCGGCCTCTTGAGGAGATCGGCTACTGCCAGTCCATGAGCTTCGTGGCGGCCACCTTGCTCCACTACTTGCCGGAGGCCTTAGGGTTTAGGGTTTAGGGGTTTAGGGTTTAGGGTTTAGGGTATTTGGGGTTATTAGGCTTCTTCGGGTTCTTCGAGTTACTGGGATTCTAGGTTCAGCTCGGGCTGAATTAGGGTTCTTAGGGTTTAGTTAAGTGCTCCACTTGCCGAAGACCGGTGGCGTGGCTATTAGGGTCATTAGGGCTGCTAGGGTTATTCGGCCTAAGTATTCGGGATATTAGGGCTATGAAGGTTCTTAGGGTCATGAGAGTTATTCGGGTTAATTGTTGGGGGTATGTAGGGTTATTGGGGATATTGGAGCCGTTACAGTGAATTCTTGGGGATGTTCGGGTTGTCAATTATTCGGGTTGTTAGGGTTCTTAGGCTTCTTAGGGTCAAGGTTCTTGCGGTCGGTATAGTTGAGCCCCCAGGCCCCCCACACTTCGACTCCTAAGCGTTGCACCCTCATGGGGTGCTACCTTGGAGACCCCTAAGGCGGTACCCTTGTGTTTGGGGACCCTGTTTTTTTGAAATAAGAAAGGCCACATAAGGAGTATATTGAGGGAAACCTTTAGGGTACAATCTCAGAGGTACGAGCCTTGGTCCCTTGATGACAGGGGGGCAGTGGATTTCTAGACCCTCAACCCTAAGCCCTAGTCCCCTAACCTGTAAACCACGACCTCCCCCCCCCCCCGCCGCCTTGAACCCTAAGCCGAAGCCCAAAGTTCTCAATCCTGAATCCTGAACGCCAAGCCCTGACACCTAAACCCTCAAGCCAAAACCTTACAACCCTAAAGCCTCAAATTCTAAGGCTAAATCTTGTCCCTCACACAAGCGCGAAACCCTAAGCCCCAAACCCCAAATCCCAAGCCCTAAACCCCAAATCCTAAGCCCGAAACCTTAAACCCCAAACCAGCAGCAGGAGACGGCTTTTTGGACACTCTCGGGTCTCCTGGAAGACGTTCTCCCTGAGGCGCTCGTCGACGGTTTTCTTGGGGTTTCGGGTTTAGGGTTTAGGGTTTATAGAAATTGTATAGGGTTTGTGTCCGGGGTTTCGACCGAGTGTTGACCGAGTTTTGACCGGTTTTTTCTTTTGCTTGTGAATGAAATCGAAATTGTATCGGGTTTGTGTTTTGACCGGTTTTTTCTTTTGCTTTGGAGGCTTTGTGACACCGTGTAAGGCCTCCGAGGCCCTTTTGGGGCCCTTTTGTTGTCATAAACTCTAAACCCTAAACCCTAAACCCTAAACCCTAAACCCTAAACCCTAAACCCTAAACCCTAAACCCTCAGTTGGGGGCCTTTTGGTGCTTTTTGGGTATCCCGGTCCCGTTGCATTTTGGGGGCCTCCCGGGCCTTTTGGGGCTTCCCGGTGCCTTTTCGGGTTATTGCACGAGCTGTTCGCAATGAACCGCGTACAATTTCTACTTATCCTGGCTTTGAAGGTTTAGGGTTGAGGGGTGGTCAGGTTTTTGAGATCTTCTACATTTTCCCCTATTTGGTTTAAGTGAGGGGTCATACTCAGGAATATTTCTCAGAGGGTAGTTTAAGGGACATCCTAGTAAAGAGCATGCTCAAGGCTACATTGTTTGTGCCTAGAAGAGCAGGAAAACCACAAGGTAAGCTCCAACTTGGCATGTACAGGTACTGCGTTCCAGCATTCTGTCTTTCGTGGTAAACGCTTTATCGTTCAGGGCTTCAACATGCTTGGGTGTTTTGTTTTGTTTTTGTTTTTGTTTTGTATTGTTCTGTTTTGTTGTTAAAATCTCGATCTTTTCTTTGTTTTTAAAGTGGGCTTTCGCGAGTTTACGGTTTAAGGACTGGGTTCAGAGGGCTTTGGGGTTTAAACGCACCCCTTTCAATGGTGCGTTTTGGGTGTAGGGCTTAAGAACTGTGTTATTGGGTTTAGGGGTTAGGGTGAAGATCCAAGCCACGAGAAGAGCGCCGCGAAACCCCCTAACCCCTAGACCACCCCCCAACACCTCAAGAGCCATCAAGCGTAACAGGAATATGGTTTAGCTTCAGATGCCTTATTCGGACGGTTTACTCAAGAGGGACTCTGATAAGGGACCTTAGGGGTTATTTGGGGGTTATTTAGGGGTTGCTTAGGTATATAGGGACTGTATAAGGTATATATGGGGGTTGTCTAGGGGGATAAGATTCAGATTCATTCTAGGGTCCCTCCTTATACCCGTTCGTCCGAGGTTTACAGGTTGGCAGGTTTACAGCCCAGAGAGTTTCTAAGTCATAACGCCCTAAGCCCGAGCCCTAAACATTGCACCCTGAACCCTAAA